ATTAAGAGGCACTGCCCCCTCAAGGGGTGAGGGGTGAAGGAAGAGGTGCCTAAGGACCCAGGGGGTTGAAGGCCGGCAGGGTCAACACCGCGGTGATGGTGGTAGACCTGCCGGGGAACTATGCCCCACAGGAGGTCACAGAAAGGGGAACTGGGACAGAGGGGACCCAGCAAGAGGCCGGGACCCAGACTATCGTGGAGCAGGCCACAGTATGGACCCAGACCCTCAGGTTAGAGGGTCCGGGGGAGGCTAGCCTATGTACGCGGCTGGCAGCCACGGAACAGGCCTGCCAGACAGTGGAGGCGGAGCTGGAGAAGGACAACAAGGAGAAGGAAGACCTGGGCCTGCAGTTGAAGGAAAGTGAAGAGAGGCAAGTGCGACTGGCGGGACATCTCTGGGCCGCACAGGCTAGAGGACCCCCTACCCCTGGGCATGGGATTTTGAGGGGTGGGGTGTAGCGGGGCAGTTACCCTGCTCCTGTAAAACAAGGTTAAAAGCTGATTGGGTGTGGCCACAGCTGTGGCTGCCTCACCAATCAGGCCACACCTGGCCCTGTTATAGGGGCTCAGGGAGGAGTTGGGTCAGTCTCATTCCAGCTTTGGAGTGGGAAGGACCTAGCTGCCTGGGAACACAGGGTACCGGAAGCAGAGCAATGCTGAGGAAAGGCAAGAGGAGCTGGGGAGCTCCAGCCTGGCAACTCCCAAGGCTGAGGCCTTGTTAAAGGCCCAAGAAGGTACTGGGGCTGCAGAGGTGCAGCCCGGGCTTAGGCAGAGGCAGCTGATCCAACACCCTTGCCAATGATGAGTGGCCATTACAGACTTCAGTTTGCCCCTGTGAGAGGGCGCTAGATGACGACTGGCAGTAGCCACTGAGGCAAGGGGGCTATAGAGGATTGGGGGGGTTCTCCTGGGTGGGCAGAACCCCAGAGTAAGGGGCACCAGGGTCTGGGAGGGACACGGGGCCTGAGACAGGCAAGACACTGGCCAGCAGGAGGCGCTCTGGAGATGGAGCTAATTCCCAGACTGACCAGCAGGAGGTGCCGCGCCGGTGTGTGCTCAATGTGCTACAATGACCAAGACTTTGGTTATACCACCCTGGTTATGCATTTACACACGGTGGTCACTAACCCAATACAGCAGAAACATCAGAGAAGATTTTCCCCAAGTGTTTTGAGGTTAAAAAGCATGTCCAGAATCTGATATTCCAAGGTGTTCTTAAGGAAAGCCACAGTGCCTGGGCATTGCCTGCAGTAATCATGATCAAAAAGGATGGCAGAGTGGTTTGGTTGTGATTTCAGGAAACTGAATGAAGTGACATACAAGGACATCTACTCACTGCTCTGTGCGGAGAAATCATTAGATGTGTTGGGAAATGCAAGAGTGTTCTCAACCCTTGCTCTGACTTTGGGCTATTTTTAAGTAGCAGCAGAGGCACAAGATAGGGAAAAGGCTGCAGTACCGACTCCTTTCAGGCTGTTTGAATGGACATGATTACCATTTGGCTTGTGCAACGTGCCTGCTACATTCCAGAGGCTACCAGAGGGAGTGTTGGCAGACTACATTCTGGACACCTTGTTGATATATCTAGATGATATTACTGTGTTCTTCAGAGACTTCAAAAGTCATATAGAAAAGCTGGATTTAATCTTTGCATGTTTGAAGGAGCATGACTTGAAACCGAAACCTAGCAAGTATTGCCTTCTGCAAGTGGATGTCAAATTCTTGGGCCATATGATGTTGATGGATGGCATCCAGGTAGAAAAAGAGAAGACCAAGACATTGGAAAAACTGGCCTGCTTCTACTACAGTCAGTTCATCCCCAAATTTCCACACACTGCTGCACCTTTACATCAGCTAGTGGGCCAACTGGGCTGAAAGAAGGGGAATGACCAAGCACTACACTTTGTGTGGGATGCTGCCTTGTCAAGAAGCCTTCGATGAGCTAAGACTACAGTTAATGACACCAGCTGAACTTGCATATCCTGACTTTAGTCTGCCTTTCATAGTGACCAGAGATAAGATCCTCCATGGCCTAGATGCGGTACTGAGTCAAAAGCAAAGGGGGGCTGAACGTGTGGTTGTGTATACAAGCTGTAGGTTAAGGCATTCAGAGAAAAATGACAAGAACTACAGTGCCTTTAAGCTGGAGTTGCTTGCCCTTAAATGGGCTGTCACAAAAAAGTTTAATATACTCAATGTTCACGGTGGTTTCAGATCACAATCCTTTCCAATACCTGCCAACCACCAACCTGGATGCTGTTGAGCATTTTTGAAGTGCATTGCAAGCTGGGAAGACAAAACATCAATTCTGACTTATTGTATTGACTGTCCCTAATGGAAGAACCAGAGGAGAGTGAGGACTTAGAAAAAGATTTCCTAGTAATCCTTGAAGATGTTGTGTGGGTATGACTGTGGCTGGAGGAGCCAGAACCTGAGGGTTATTGATGAGTGAGGAAAACTTCCCAGAATGCAGGGGGGAGAAATCCTTTGCCTTTCAGGAATGACCTAATGATTTCAGGGTACTCCTGGGAAGAGGTTCAGGTTCTGCAGCAGCAGGGTAACATCAGACTAGTCATAGCAGCAGTTGTGAAGAGAACTAGATCTATCTGGACATTTGGAATCAAGGACCCACAATCCAAGAAATTAAGCCAGCAGTGGAAACAGCTTAAGTTTCACCGTGGAATGTTGACCTGAGTTTTATATGACCCAAGAGAAGGAGAAGAGGTGAGGCAACTGGTAGTGCTGGTATCACTATGCAAGCAAGTTGATGAGGCTAACCATGACCACGGAAGGCATTTCAGATATAGGAGTACCCTGGAGATAAGTTATTACTGGCCCATGATGGTTAGTGATGTCCAGTCCTGGGTTAAGCAATGCAAGCAATATGCCCCTAGCCAATGACATATTTCTTCGTATCAGCGCTCCTTTAATTTGCATCAATGTTACAGCCCCAATGAAGTCTTAGCAATGTACTACACCCTGCAAGAAAAGAATGAAAATGTGTTAGTCCTCACTGACATGTATATCCAGCAACACATCCAGGTCCAGGAAGAAGATACCGGACTTGCACATTTGTTGTAACTGAAATTTACTGCACTTCAGAGACTGCTGCATTGAACCTTACCCAAGCCACTTCCTCTCAATGTTTATGCTGTGCAGTGTTGTTTAATCCCCAAGAAATGGTGTTGGTGTAAATGGAGTGTGTGTGTGTTTAAGTGAATTGCAGTGATTAAAGGGTTACCAGTGAGTTAGTAATATCCTGGAGTAGGGGCACCCTCATCCCAGCAATAGATGCCCATGGAGTACTGAGATAAATATCCAGGAACCCCTGGGCTCAGTCCTTCCTGTGTGATGTGAGTCCTATTCACTTGGCACCTGGAGGGAAAGTAAAGATGGGCAGGACCAGGGGGAAGTGCATTCAGGTGGGGACTCGGATCCTTTCGTCACTTGGTTCAGCCAGGGTACTGTGTACAGAGAGAAATTTCCCTACTATGGTGGGACAAATCCCCTGCTTACACACAGACTGAGTCGGAGGCTGCGGAAGGGAGACCTGGACCCAGATTATGCCAGTTCTGTGCCTGTTGGAGATTTCCCCCTCCCTGGATATACCCAACAAGGAGCCAATTTCCACTCCCTTGCACTGCGTGAGTGCCACAAAGGGAGGAGGTCAGAGCTGGGAATCTTCCCTTACATTTCTATTTTATTGCCCACAGCCCAAATGTACCTTTAACAGAAAACTCTACTGACCCGGGGTTTATAAAGTGGCTATGTCACAAGAGAGTAAAAATTGCATAGACTTATGAATTTGCATGATACATCACTGATTATGGTACACAGGGGAAGCTATAATTTGCATAGATGTTTGGGTCATCCCTGTTCAGAAAGAATCTACATCTTGATAACCCTGAGCAGATATAATTAGGGATATAAAATTAAGGCTACATAAGCATGAGGACAAATATTTCTGGGGCAATGCTGATTTTGTCAGCAAGTGCCTTATTGTTTCACTGGGCTTGGTTTTATGTGTTTCAGCTATGTGAGCTTTTAGACAGCCATCTGCATTTTCATGCATCTTCCATTGCTGTCTGTATTCCCCTTGAGGGAGAGTAATTGAACATACAGAGCATCAGGAGTGACTCATTTAATCCATTCAGGTGGTGATTAGGCTTTCAGAGCATTTGCATCACAGCAAGATGCTTGTGTCAGATTGTACAGCTGAATATTACACTCAGCATTGAAGATTAAAATGAAAAATGGACCAAGCGTGAAACAGTAGCTGAAGGTACTGGTATAGATAAGCAGCCTTGTCCTCATTGATTTGTCTGCAGTGAGCGACAAAGATCTGTTAATTTTGTCTTTGCAGCTGATGGGAAATGATATGATAGCCTGATAGAACCAGCAACAACCTCCCTACAAAAAATGTCTGTACAAGAACAAATCAAAAACAGCCTCTTCCAAGAATCCCGAGGAAGACTGTGTAGCTCTCAGTAACTCTTTGTTCACTGCAGTATACTTCACAATATGCTGTAGAGAGGTTTTGTTTTTTAGGGTTTTTTTTATGAATGGTAAACTGGGTGGGGCATAATGTCATCAGATCCTGATGTCAGCACAATGAATGAAATGCTTGCATAGCATATTGCTCCAAGACCAAGAAAACAGCCACCACCTCAGATTGGCTTCCTAGAACAAATTGTCTTTTGCTGACGAAATCACCATTCCCACGTGTGTTGAATAATCCATATAAGTTAGGATTTAGATAAGCAGAGGACATGAAGATACACATGGAATAATACAAATTTGATCTCTTACACATCCCTTTAAGAGCTGTTGGTGGATCACCCCTTCTGCAGACACTGCTAATGGGCTCAGTGAACTGAAGACGTGTCACTGTATTTTTGTTGTTTTCTATCTAGCCCAATGTTCTGCTTTTGTCTGCACAATTCTTTGTTAAAGCTACAAGCCCTTGAAACTGACTTGTGCTCTGCATTTTTGCCAACCCAGGAAGAAACTCCTCAGCTGCAGGCTTTCAAGGATCCTCCAGCCCCTTCATCAATTCAATCCAGTGTGCAAACTGATGGGGCTAGTTGTGGAGGTAAGCTGCTATGTCATGATGTGTCCTCATTTGCAATTACAAGATAGTCCTATGTTCCAATATAATCTAATATTTGCAGCCCCATGGAATGCAGCACAGATGAAATGTGAAGGCTGAAGCACAATGAGCTGCTGCAAATGCTAAGAAATGTAAACAAAGGGATAAGATGTGTTAGTAAGGATAGAAATAAATTGCAGCAATCTTCTACTTTTCCTAGGTACCGCATTTTGCTTTACAGGCAATTTTAAGAGTCCAGATTCCTTCTTTTTCGGTTTGAGCTGTATGTTTCTTTCAAGAGAGTTATGTTCTTTATTTCTTTACTGTGTTGCATCTGCATTGTGTGTGTGATATTCTGCCATTTCATGTAATTCTGTTTTGCAATTTTTTTTGTCAGAGCAATGTCACTTCATTTCTCCTATTATTGATTTTAATTTAATGCATCAGCAGAGAGATAGTGAAGGTGAGTTTTACAGCACGTTGATTTTAATCATTCATGAATCTGCCTTGTCCATCTTGCATATTATGATGTGTTCCTTTTTCTTTTCTTAGTCCTACTCACAGAAACTAATTCCTCCAAATAAATGGCCCTAACACTCGGCATCATTTTCTGTCTGTTCATAGTTTATAATCACAGGGATTGCTGAATCATAATTTTAGGCAGAAGGGGAATCATTGTTTCTGAAAAATAGGTCATAGTTAATAAGACTAACATACCACACAGAGGAATGATATGTAAACTTAAATTGTGTATGGTCAACATTAAGGCAAATAGGTCAGTAACACGAGGCCTAATCCTAATTCTGCAAGGTAAATTTTATGGATAAAAGAAAGGTGAGTTCAGAAAAGCTTATGTCAGAAGCTGTTTGTTTGGATTTTCTGTAAAATGCGATTATTTATTTTATATTATTTTTATTACTTACGCTATTCTACTTTAGACATTCTCAAATGATGGCAATGTATTGCAAAAAATAAGGAATAGTTACACATAACCCTAATCATTGAAAATCTAAGCAATGCAAAGGATGATACATACTGTAGCCAAAAAGAGAGTGTAACATTTTGGCTTCTGAGTTGATTAGGAATAGGTTGTTTGGGTTTTTGTGTGTTTTCTCTGGCTGCTGCAACATAGGTGGAAAAACACCTTAACAGGTTTCAAATACAGCTGTAGGAATTCCTAACACGCCTAGTTTCTCACCTGTATATTTGAGTCAAGAATGGAGACTATGCAAATGCTACACAGGGCAAAGAGGTCTTGTAGTTTGCGCTAAAACTGCATTGGCTCTTCCATTCATTGGCAAGGTCAATTTTTTTGTCCTTTTCCAATTTAACACAAATATTTTGCTTCTGCAGTTTCATAATTCATAATCAGAGAACACTTGATATTCAATGGAAGACTCTGCAACCTTTACCTTTGATTTGATTCTGACTGCATTTAAACTGTTAAAAATCTCCCACTTCAAATAACACTTACAGCATTAATCTGTTCATTTACATTTACACAGCAGGATACTGGAAGATGTAGCATTTCTCTCACACAGTCCAAATAGAGCATGATCTGCCATTCAGTCGTTTCCAACCTGTGCTTTAGGGGAAGCTTGGTTATGCATTCATATGCATTTGATATACATTGTTTTGCAGTAGCACCTGCTTTTGGCTGTTTTTGTTTACTGACTTGTTATTTTAACATAAACAACACCGGTCCTTTTTCTCTCTCTCTTAAACTACTGGTGGAATTTATCAGTTCAATCAGTTGAAACACAGTAATCACAGAGGTCTAGATTCTGCTATCAATTTAAATCAATGTAAATCTGGATGAAGTCGGTGGATTTATACCAGGATAACTGATATCAGAATCTGGCCTTTAGGGTATTTTTAGTGCTGGGCAAATAATGGATATTTCAGTTCATTGGGAATTTTGAAATATTGAAAAAAATATGTTTTGGGTCAAACCAAAAATGATTATTTTTTTTTAAATTTTCAGTGAATCAAAAAGTTGAAAAAATGTAGAGTTGTGTTGAAATGTTTCAATTTGGGGGCATTTTGCCAGAAGCCAAGGAGGACTAGATTGCCAAAACACATGGGCTAGGGAGATGGTTAGGGAGAGGAGAGAAGGACCTGCAGTCCCTTATAATCTTTAGTAAAGTGGTGAGGGTACTCTTCAGGGATGTGGGAGACCTGAGTTCAGTTTCTCCTTCTGCCTTATGTGGAGAAGGAGCGGGAAGTTAGGTCTCCCAGTTTGCAAGAAAACTCAGAAACCATTCCAGGCCGACCAAATCTGCATTTTTTTCAGTGAATAAATAGTGATATTTAAAATTTAAAATGCATAATTTTGTAATATAAACATGATTACATAATAGATTTCACTTCTCTGATTTCACATTCCAATTAATAAAAGTAAAGGAAATACCATTTTTATGAACCAAGGTTAACTAGAACATACTGGCAAAACAATGTAATGCTTAGGATGCAATTTTTTCTAGGGATCCCAAAATGTTTAGTGACTCTCATTCTATAAGTCCCTGAAGACTGTGCGGGACAAGCATGTTCAAATTTACTTACGAACCCATAACTTCTTGAACCAGTCTTTGTATAAGGAGGCTATGATGAATTTCAATGATCATGTATTCAAACATATTAAAATAGGAGGAAATAAAATTAATGAATGTAAATAATTACTTAGCATAACTTTGGGGTATGTGGCTACATAGCTAACAAAGAGTGTGTATCTAACTGTGAGTGGTTGAACTATAAGAAGTTTTACACGTCTTTTACGAAAAATGCTAATTCTCTCAATCACTGACAGAGTATATATTTGAATGCATATGTATATTATACCTATATATGTAGTTTTTCACATGTAACAGATGTGGATAATTTTTATTTTATTTAACTGTTTAAGAACATCATGTGAGAACACAGTCTTGAAATTGTTTCTATGATAGTTTTGATGTCCCCATTGATCAGGCATATTGCATGTTTTGCATGTGTTACTAGCCCTTGGCTTAATGTCAGATTATGACCTCTGGTTTAGTGCTGACATTAGACCAAATTTGTCGGATTAGGATAGATGTAGTATTGGAGCCAGTTTGCTGGTTTGGGTTAAGGATGGTTTTAGCTTTTGATTTTTCACTAAGGTTAAAAGGCTAGGGTAAATGTTGGGCCCATTCATTGGTCTAGGCTAAAGCCTGGGATCCTTTTGAGGGCCCAGGCTGGAGTATAGAGTTGATGCCAGGATTGTGGCCTGAAACTGTTAAGATTGGGGCCAGCTTGTGAACTTGGGCTAGTGCTAGGATGCCATGAGTTTAGGACCATGGCTATGGTTTACGGTCTGTTTTATGGGCCCTATCTAAAATTGTGCTTGGGTCCTGTGATGGGGGACACTCTCACCGCTTGTAAGTGCCTCTTGCCGGGTGGATGCGAACCTGCACTCTCTCTGTCTCTCTCTCTTCACGGTGCCCTCTAACGGCTGTTGCCCTTGTCGGGCAGGTCTTCAGTGGCTCAACCCTCCAGCCAAGTCACATACAATCAATATGCATGAACGCACAAACCCCTTCCACGGTAAAAAGTCCAACCAGGCTTGTCCCTGTGCCATTGGTGATGTCTTTAGCCATTCCTCTGGGCTCAGTTCTCAGCCCCTTCTGGGCTAGCTTTAAGTCTCTGTCTGCCCTGGTATAGAGCAATGCTCCAAGGGCTTTCTCCCTGGAGACTCTTTAAGTCCTACCCTTCACTTGGGCCTCTAAACAAGCCTTATCCCCTTCTTGGGGCTTAGGTCACCCTGCCAATGGCCAGTAGGGGGACCTCTACCTGCCCAGTACTCCAAGTCCTGACCCAGAGACCCTATAAATAGGGTCATAAGTGATAGTGTAGACATGGCCTTAGCCTGCCCAGAGAACAGACAGTCTTCTTCCCCCGCCCCCTTCCCTGGGCAACAATGCAACATATAGGGGAAACTAAGACACACTCAGGATTCATAAAAATATTACAAAAAATTCCCACTTCATCACATCTTGTATTTGGCAGAAGTACAGATTTGTGAACAGCCTCCACCGAGAGCCCCAGAATCAGAGTGCAAAATATGGAAATCTTTCTGCTGCCCTTATGGTATTCAGGGACCTGCCAAAATTTTAACACTGCCATTTTTTTTGACAGTGCAAAACCCAGTACTTAATATGGTTTCAGAATAAGAACACTTCCGTTTAATTATGCTATTTCCACCTGTCCCTACAATGATTCCTTATGTTTCTCAAAGCTTGAAAAGTATGCAAAATTTAAAAGGAGTTAATACAGTTCATTCCAGAGGACACCACAGTATTGTTTTTGAGGGGGAAAAAAAGTAGGCTATATTCATGTACTGTAACTGTATTATGTCTTTTAAACCAATGAAGGGATTCACTGACAGAAGATAGCATTGTTGCTTACCTTTGCTATGTAACATTCGTTAATCCGTTTATTTCACATGTGAATTGTTTGTGCAAGTCACCAACTTAGGCAGGTACAATGTTCTAGCCTACATTTCTTCAAATTCCTTTCTGCATTTTTCACTGGAGAAAGGATTTGGATCTCTCACATACTTTACAAATTCTGCAAAATATAGGTCTGGGGAAATCTCTTTCCATGTATTTTTCCATAGTGTGCGTCTTATAACCCGTTTTTTTGTCAATTGATAACCATGAAAGTTATAAAAGACAGTGTAAACTTTTCATTTTATTTACATTTCATTGTAAATCACCAGCATACACTATATTTGGTGGGTTCACAAAATGTAAAATGGTCATTTATATTGAGATACATTAAAAAGATTATATAGTGCTTACACTGTTAGCTAACAAGTGATGTTCTGTAACTCTGGAATAGAATATTTTGCTGTTTTTAACATCATTACATGCATTTGTAATATTTTATTTTGCATTTTTATTTTACTTGTTTTCCTAAATTGTGTAATTATGGGTCAGCACAGGACATGCATAGTCTCTGCATGGCTTTTATATCTTTTGATAAATCTGTTCATACTGGTTCCTCTTTCCAGGGGATTTATTTAAGGGGGTGGGGGAGTACAAATGGGGAGAAAATGATTTTTCTGTCCTGCAAAATATTTCAAGATTTCAAAATTGTTCACAGTCTACATTGGGATGAAACCGAGACTTTTCAAAAAAAAAATTGCAAAAAACTCCTCCACACAGAGAGAGGGAATAGCCCAGTGCTTATGGCACCCTTCTGGGATGTGGAAGACAGGAGACCCAGGTTCAAGTCCCTGCTCTACCTGATTCATGGCCCAGGATGGAATTTCTGGTCAAATAAGAGCGAGAGAGATAGAGACCAAGCTCCACCTCAGAATAGCCAATAGCCAAGTGACTAGGGCACTCCCTCATCTCAGGTGAATGCCCTAACCACCAGGCTTATTGGCTGTGCTGGGGTGGGTCTCTCTCCCTCTGTCCTCTTGGAGCTGTTAGAGCATTCTCCTGGGATGTGGAAGTGCCATGACCACTGGGCTATTGCCTATTCTGGGGTGGGTCTCTCTCTCTCTCTCTCTTGTTTGACCAGAAATTCCATCCTGGACAAGAGAAACCTTCCCAAAGAAACTTTTATCAAAGCCAAGATATTTCTGCGAAAAGTTTCAGTTTCAACTAATCAGCACTTTCTGATGACAATCTATTTCATTGAAAAATTTCCTGACCAGAACTAGTTGTGACAAATAAGGCCAATGTACCTGGTTTGTAATTCTATCCAATAACTTTTTGCTTAATAATTTCTACTTCATTGGTCAAATTCTCCTCTCCAGCATACTAGTAGCTCCTCAAGCTTCAGTGAAGTGGGAGAACTGGCTATATTGTTTAATTTGTCTGCACAGGAAGATGCTGCTGCTTATTGTTGGCCTCAGCACCCCCACTATAAAAATTGTTCCAGCATTCCTGGCTGCACAGGCAACCGTAATTCTAATTATTTAGCACATCACTTTGCAACCATTATAACATGCTTCTATCATGTTTTTTAATGTCATAAAGTGTCTGAATCAGTAATGTGGTACACTGTAAACAAATACTCTATTCATATATAGATTAATATTCCAAACAGAATTATTTATATTGCTCCTAAAAATTAAAACAAGTAAAATAAAAATGCAAAATAAAATATTACAAATACATTTAATGATGTTAAAAACAGCAAAATACTCTATTCCAGAGTTATAGAACATCACTTGTTAGCTAACAGTGTAAGCACTATATATAATCTTTTTAATATAATCTTTTTAATTTAGGAACATTTGGTGTTGTGTTGCCTGTAACATAGAAACAATTGGACAATGTCTGATAAAATAATATTTTAGATCATTTAAATCTATTTATTTTGAAGTCGGTGCCCAATTTTCTGCTTTCGAGGAGGGAGGCTGCTTGGAGCCACTATTTTCCCAATGCTAAACAAGCTCAGTGATTATCTATTGTGCAGATAATAATTAAAATACAGTATAACAGTTCCATCAAAATCTTAATGGAAAAGGCCTTTTTATCTCTGAAAGTACTACACCCTCACCATAGGAAAATCCACAACTTAGTGCTGTAAATTAATAGGAGTTAGAGGTATGTCTTCTGAATTTTTGTAACATCATTGATTAAAATTTCATTTTTAATTAAAAGCAAAGGTGAAGGAACATTTTCAGATCTGCTGCTTAACTGACATCTCCTTGCTGATCTGGGGGAAAATTAATGTTCAATTTCTTCTGCTGAAATTTTTGAGAAATATATGATATAAGGAATCCCTTGTAATGTATGTATGATACACAACTAATTCATGGTATGAACCTACAGTAAATATTAAAATAATTGATGCCGACTCCATTTTTGCATATAGATACAATTTTAAAGAGAAAATAATAAAATTAACTTTGCCTAGTTACAATATAATACATTAGTTATTAATATAGATGGAAATTTCTCCCCAGGTAGTTGAGAGAAAACACTCTCTTTCGGCATTGAGAATTCTATTCTGGCTTTTGTAACTTGTTTGTACATATATTTTCAACAGGGCTTTGTATGTTGGTACAGGATTTCGCCATCATGAAGCAGAATCCTCTTAAAAGCACACCCCATGGGAAAAAATACCAGTTAAGGATAAAATTCCGGCCTATTTTGTGTAAGCCTCTTGAGGGTGAGGAAGAGGGAGCAGGGAGTCTCACCCTTTCAATGCAGACTCATGGCAAGTTATGGACTAGAACTACGCAAGTCTTGTGGCCAATGGGCAAAAGGAGGGAGATGAGGTTCATAGACAGACAGATTTAAGACCTGAAGGGACCAATGATCATCTAGTCTGACCTCCTGCTTAACAGAGGCTGTAGAATTTCACTTAGTGTTTCTTACATCGAGCTGGATCTTGTGTTTGAGCTACAGAATATCTTTTAGAAATTCATCCAGTCTTGATTTAAAGACTTCAAGTGATGGAGGATCACTGCATAAGTTGCTCCAATGGTTAATTAAGCTCACTGTTGAAAATGCTCCTTATGCAGTCCCTCTCTCATACACTAGACACTGTCCACTCCTTAGGAGCCTATGCGCCCATTAGTGCATGGGGACATTGCTAGCATAATGCCATATACCTAACACCCCAAGGCAGCAGACAGAGTGCACCACCTACATTTTACTGCTTACGCAACCAGTTTCAATTTTCTGTTCATGTATATTGGTCTGAATGGGTTAGTAATTAATTTTCTGCAGAGTGGCATCTTACCCTGAGAATTAAGAGCAGAATTCTACAGGATATGGGTCACCAGGCTAGAAGCACTCAATATGCTGCATGATAGGGTCCTAAATGTGTTACTTCTGCAGATGTGTCCTATCCTTCTCCTGAGCAAAGGACTGAGCCCTAAATTAGGGAATGAGTCTTATTTTACATCTGTTTTCATATTCTGCTGCAAAGAGTGCATTTCAGAGAAAACTGATCTATAAAAACAGAGAAAATGCTTTTATTCTGATAAACTTCTTATCTTTCTTTTAACAAAACTTCATGGTTTATTTTTACACACACACACCTGTCTATATTCCATTGTGGAACTCAGAATACAGTGTTATACCAGTTGTTGTAACCTATGTATCCTCCTTTGTTATGCTCTGATTTGGTACCACGTTCTACCAGTGTATGCTGCATTGCTATACCATACATTATTCATTGTATTAATTGCAGAGTTTTCAAGCATCTCACTTTGCTTCCATGAACACATTTGTTCATGTAGATTCTTATTTACTTCTATAGCTAACGAATTAGAGTGTTTTATGAGAGACCTTCAATCGCATATTGATTTGATCTTGTCGTTATAGAGCCTGTACCAGCCCATAGAGACTGGCAGAGTGACGCAGACAACGGCCCAGAAGACCATCACTCCTTAGGGACCAGTAGACTACTATATCATATTACTGATGGAGATAATCCCCTTCTGTCACCACGCTGCTCAATCTTTAGTCAAAGCCAGAGATTTAATTTAGACACAGAGTCGGCCCCTTCCCCACCAAGTGCTCAACCTTTCATGATGTAAGAAAATATATTTTTAACTTTAATTTTTATTATGTTTGTACAGTCTAGAACATTTGACTCTTCACATTTCTCAGATATGGTCATGTCATTTGCTCTAAACAGGGATGTTTCATAATATAATACAATATAATTTGGCATGATTAATTTGAAATACCATAAATATGACCTAACATTTTCCAATGAGAACAAAGTACAACATTAGCTGAAATCTCAGTTAATTATAGTGTAGTAATGACATTTTTAAAGGTTAGTTCATAATCAGTCTGAAAAGTGAACACAGGATAAAAAAGGTTATTAAAGGTCTAATTCAGAAAAGTTCAACTGCAATGGAATTACTGCATGAGTCATTCATTGGAAATGGAAGGCAGTGTCACAAAACATCTGAATAGTCCTTGTAAGTACTTTTTGGAAATTCTAAGAATTAATTTCATGCTGGAACTCTGTTTTCTTTAAATCTTAAAAATAAAGTTTAGGCAAATACAAATAATCAAGCCTATTTATTCACAAATCTAAAAAGTCACACATGAAATATCCTACACAATGATTGTCTATTGCCAGTAAGGATAGACTCTCTATTGCAACGCTAAATTCCTGTAGAATAGAAGGCACTATAATAATGAAATATTTTGTGCTTTTTTCAAGTTCTTGGCAACTTATGGTGACTAACTCTTAAACAAGAATGTCTACTTTTTAAAGTCCGAAGTTAAAATAGTATACTTACAAATATTTTAACTTGAAATAAAACAAACTTTAAAAAAAAATAACTTTTTTTTATCCAACAAACCCATTTTTTTGGTGCATGGAAATTAGTCAGAATCATTTTCAGTGGAGCTGATCGAAAACTTTCTGACTGAACATTTTTCTGTCAGAAAATGCCATTTTCCCAAAATCTAAACTTTTTATGAGAACATGTTTATTTTGACAAAATTCTGTTTAAAATAAAAAAAAATAATTAATTTTGTTTTGAATTTTTCTTTCATTATATTATAAGTTACAATGCAATATAAAATAAGAAAAAAGTCAAAATTGGAATGAAACATTTAAATTTTATTGAAATGAAATATTTCAATTTACTCTCAACATTTTTTCTGAATTTTTGTTCTATAGGAAATTTTTTAAAAATTGTTTTCATTTTGATTTGGAACAAAAATAAGTTTTGTAATGTTAGAATTTCCTGTGAACTGGAATTGTGATTAGCTCTGATTTTCAGTACTACATTTTTACCTGTTGGTGCCAGTAATTAATTCTAATATACAGAAATCATTATAGGCTGCCCTCTGGTCTGATTCAGGAAATAGATATCTTCCTGAAATTGGCCATAAATGCACTTCATATAAAAGAAGTGTCATTTTCTGTTCCCCTTATTCACATTGCATCATACCTTACTCCACAAATAATGTAATTGAAGTCAGTGGGACTACTCATGGAGTAGATGCTATTATTAAGTGTGAACAAAGGTATCAAAATCTGGCCTGTTAGGGTGGGATTTTCAAAATGATTTTCAAAAGTTAGGCCAATGTGGAGACCTTTTCAGAATCCCACACTTAATGATCAAAGTAAGGTAGGAAAGGTGTGGGGGCTGCCCACTAAACACTATGCCACCTTCAAAGAAAAACCAGATCTTTCACATATTTACTTCATAAAGCCTAACCTTGTGCCTACCTATAGGAGAAACATCCAGAGTTCTAACACAATTTACATATGATTTAGACTAGAGATGGTTCTGTGTGGCTATAGTTCTGATTTCATGGCAGGAGGTCAGAAGTGTTAGTTGCATTAACAGAGATTTTATTTCTACTTTTGCAGGCCCAGAAGTTCTTCCAGGTGTAATTGTGAGGACTGCAAAGAACCGCAGACAGTAATGCAACTTACCAAACATCTTCAAAGTCTCAAGAGAAAAATCAGGAAGTTTGAAGAAAAGTTTGAACAAGAAAAAAAATATCGGGTAAGAAAATAATCGGAGAAATAAGATAGGGTGAATGCTACATGTATTACGGATATCGTCCTTAAAGGTGTAGGATTGCTTCTTGCAAAATAATAGAAAAAAATTGATATCTGAGTGATTATAGGCCATAATTGTGAAGCTCTGTTTTGAGTTACCTTCATTGGGGAATATCCATCAATCAAGATGGGTGATCGTAACATTTAACTACTTTAAAATATCCTGAACATCTTTAAGACAAAGGAATGTTCTGATACTTATAAATAGCTTCTTACTTGCATTGTAGATAAAATTATTTGCTTAGCAACTTTGTTCTGCTATGTAACTTTTCTCATTCATGTGGACTGAGTTATCTTTTCAAAAAATCAACAAAACAATAACTTTCTTTAGAAGTCATTTGTCAAATAAAAAATGAAGGCTCTGGTGTGTGGCTAAGTGGTATCTGTGTCCCGAGATGTACAATATATGGCAGAGAGAGCCCCAAGTATTGACTCTGGCTAAAGCAAAAGCTAAGGAGCCATTAATCTCTAGGGTATAGAATATTGTGTGGTGTGAGTAGAGGTCTGTAAGGTTTCACCCTCTTGTGCAGTTTCCCCATACACAAGTTGTGGCATCCTCCCCATTTGTGTCTCAGTAGCATCCCATCATCTATCAGAACATTCCTCTGGTGTCTGAAAGGGAAAGCAGTTTTCTTGGAGGACATGATGCTCCTTTGCTACTACTATGGTATATGAAAGCTACTGCTATAGTTTGTAAAAATAATCAGCACCTTCCAACCTTACTTTGTTGGAATCAGACCACCTTATCTGTTTGAGATTATATTGCTCTCTAATGATTGGTCAATAAATGAATATAAGCCCTAATATTACTGGCAGCTAATAGAGATTCTCCTTTAGCTCAAATGGTGGAAATAGCACTCTTTGAAGCGGAAGAACCTTGCTGCATTTGTGAGATTTTGGTGGCAGTCATGGAACATAAAAAACAGATGTATTTGTCTCTTTCCATATTGAGCTTCTTATAGCTAGGTAGAGATAGATATGTAAAATAAACTAAATCATCAGAATATTGTGCAACAGCCTTGACCCCACTTCCAGACCTTGGGATTCATCATCTTCATCATTGGTCGTTATTCAGCAACCTCTTTGACGGCTACACCTCTAGTTAGTTTACAGAGAGTGGAACAGGATCAACAGACTCCACTCACTCAAACTGGTGATTTCCCTGGAGTTTTGTCTAGAAAGGGGAAGCCAGGGAACTGGGTGGGGTTTACTTCCACATTTTTTATGTCATTGGGCTGGTATAAGTGATAGTCAATGAAAGGTAGTGGGCATGAACAACTGTGGTCTATATCTATTCAGAATTATGATTTTTTTTAGGCCCTGTATTGCTGAGGTCATTTTAAAAGGTATTTTAAGATCCTTCTGCTGTGTGTGTGTATATATGTATATATATATATATATAGCTAGATGGCCAACTTTGGGATTTGAATAACACTTGTGCTTACTAGTTGGCAAACCCAAATAAACACAGGGGCAACCCTGGAAGTAATAAAAATGTAAAGATTTTCATCCATCCCTTTTTTTGTAGATACTTGAATAGGGTTGGGGAAAACCATTGATCTGAGAAGCAGAAGAGAGTGTCAAGTGTAGTACTCTTAATATTTACCACAGATAAATTAATAATCCTTTTCTGATCTTCAGGAGAGTAGAGGAAGAAAGCACAGAGCAATTAGACAGATAATATTTCAGTTATATTAATCAACAAAATCAATCCTGAAGGGTATGGTGGTGATCACATCACTGACCTCATAGAGGCTTGACAGTCCTTCAGGGGGGTGTCCATCTTAGTGACCTCACAAAGACCTGGGATATGTGAGCAGTCCCACTGGATACAGTGAGTGAATCAGTAAACCCCCCTACTAGATACAGAGGGGAGCAGTGAGTGTGTGACCTTAAGACTCGGTCAGGTGGAAGGGGAGTGAATGAATCACTAGTCTCACTGCCACGTACAGCAAGGGAAGCAGTTAAGTCACTATATGACTTTTTTTTATTATAGGCGTGTGCCAAATGAACTAGGCAGGCAGCAAGGCTCACAGCATTTTCCCCCCTCTACCTCTCCCCCCCCCCACTTAACCCCCTCCCAAAGCCCTTCTCTCCTATATAATATGTTTAAATTGTTGTGGGTGTTCGGTCTTTTTTAAAAGTTTCTGTTTTGATTCTGTGCAACTGCTACTGTGCAGTAAATGCTGACAGGAATCAAAAGAGGGAGGAGATGAAGGCAGTGAAAGGCTGTAGTCAGGAGCAGTCTTTTGCTTTGACAGCGGAGAAAAGCTTGAATTACATACAGGAGGGAAGAGGAAAGGACTCAAGGAGGAGGAGACATGGCTGGAGTAGAAGGAGAGGAAGATTATCTTGGTAGCAGTGTTTGCACAGATTTAAAACACATTTTACAGGTTTTTCAATTAAATTGGGTGAAAAATTTGAGCTGAAATGCATAAAATATTACTTTTCAAAGATTTTAGGGACCCTGGTCTTAAGGACTGCAGTAAGGGCTCCATCCGGAAAAGTGTTGAGCATTTGGATTCCCAACCTGCAAATCCTGCACATGCTAAACTTTAAGCATGTAGGTAATCTCACCGAGGTCAACGAGACTATTCACTAGGGTGACCAGATGTCCCGATTTTTATAGGGACAGTCCCGATATTAGGGGCTTTTTCTTATATAGGCGCCTATTCCCCCCCCCACACACACACTCTGTCCCGATTTTTCGTACTTGCTATCTGGGCGCGCGCACACACACACACACACACACACACAAGCAGTGCTTAAGTGATTTGTAAGACCAGAGACAGAATGCTCAGCACTTTGCAGTATCAAGCCCCAATACAAGAAGATAATGAACTTGACAGCTTATTAGCATAATCAAGCCAAACATGTCAAATGGACAGTGTATATAATATAATGCTTAGCAGTGATTTGGGATCTTAACTATTTCTGGCCATATGATGTGTGGAAGAATCACCATCTACATGGACCATGGTAACCTGATATGGCTCATATAAAGGCTGTCACTATAAGGTACGTTGCCACAGTTCCTCTCACCTGGATAGACACCAAAGCGAATCCCATGCAGCCTCCTTGAGATCTTCCAGGTTCCACTAGGGCATACTTTTTTGACCTAAGGTATCAGGTCACAAACTGGTATCAGGCTGTTGTGACCACCCTGTCCTTCTCGTATTGTTAAATGGGAGAGGGTCCTGAATAGATCCTGATAAATAACAATGAGGTCCTGGGAGGGGATCCTTGAATAGAATTGTTGACAACAACCACTCTGTTGGGGGAGGGGATGTAGAAGGATTAGGTAGATGCCTATACTTTTTTGTATGAGGGAAATAAATATATCTCATAATTCACTGTGATTCTCATTGACATGGAATCTTTGTTCTGAAATATTTTGTATTTTAAATAAGCTAGTTCTTTATTGGATGAGTATATCAGGAGTGTCATCAGAATTCCTGCTACATCAAGCACAAGTTTGATTTTTACAACCATAGGCTTGAATCTGCAAAGACTCAGGCACATGCTAAACCTTATGCACTGTGCATTGACTCTCTGTGTAGGATCAGTCCATAGAGAATACAAGAAAAGGAATAGTCCCATCATCAGTTCTTTTCTGTTCTCTTATGTGCAGCCTTCACATGGTGACAAAACTTCCAATCCTGAAGTCCTGAAATGGATGAATGACTTGGCTAAAGGTCGTAAACAGCTCAAAGGTACATAATAGCATATCGTTTCATTTTATTGCACAGTGGGCAATTTCATAATACTGGAAACTTTGTAAAGCAGTGCTAATGCAGTAGGAGCATTTTAGTATTTGTTTTCTCCTCTTTGCCCCCTATTTCTATTTCACTAAGTCTCCCTAAGGACAAAAAGAAAGATGAAATGGCATGTGCAGCGCCAGTCTCTCCCCGCCATGCTTGGGGAGAGTCAGTTCAACCATATTCAATAGAGCTGAAAAAGAGAGAGCTTATTCGTAACTATCAACATTCTTGAAAACAGAGATGCAATTTTAAATATTAGCCTCAATGTTTGTCTGATGTTTCAGCTTCATTAGCATTAGCATACTGTACATAATTGCCAAGTTAATGGGTTTGTTATACTGATACCATTCACATTGTAGTTGTAAAGGGGGTTTGTTGAATTTACATTACAAAACTCCATTTTAAACCACCTATTATTTGGTCATAAAAATAGCTTCTTGCCTGAAATTAGATTTAATACCAAAGGTCAATTTTTTCCCTTGACAGCCTGTATGTGGCTCCATTGACCAGAGTGGGGAGGAAGATATGCGTATCCAAGGGGAAAATGTAGCCACTATTGATTTTTTTAAAATAAAAATAAAACACAAGCTATTTTTAAAGTAATAAAAGAATCATTTTTGTTTTAGATGCATTTTTCACCATTAAGTGAATCATAGTATTACACTTCAATACTGTAGGGTGGGATTTTGATAAGTGCTTAAAGCGTCTAGAAACTCAACTCCCATTGAAAGCCAGTGGAAGATGGGCACCAAACTCTGTGAACTCGTTTGAAAATCCCTCTCTTAAATATCAAGTGATTAGTCTGCATTGTCACAAGATGTTTTTAAAATAACCCCTTTTTTTAACTAAAGAAAAGCAAAATAGCTGTAAAAGGGCCAAACTACATGCGTAACTTCTTGTAAATTGTCACTTTGAATCGATTGTATTTCAAAATGATAAACCCACTTCACGTACATTTTCATACACCTTAAAGGCCCTGATCCTGCAAACACTTGAGCACATGCTTAACTTTACTACCATGAGAAGTGCCATTGATTTCAGTGGGAGTACTCGCAGTAGTAAAGCTAAATACTTGTGTGAGTGTTTGCAGTATTGGGTGCTTTTATAAAGGAAGTAAGTAGCATTAGTGCTATTTTAGAAGCAGGGAAACTAAGGCAGAAAGAGGTGAAGTGACTTGCCTAAGGTCAACCAGTAGACCAGTGGCAGATTCAGGAATAGAGTCCAAGCTCCGAAGGCTCAGGCCAGTGCCCTGTCCACAGTTCCTCACTTCTTCCCACATCCTCTGGTCTGCACAAGCAGGAACTGTGGGTGTCTTTAAGCCACCTTTAGACTCAATCCTAGGCTGGCCAGGGTCCAAGCTGGTCCCTGTTGTAACATCATGTTACAATAATATAATGGATGCCTTGTCTGATGCTGGACATCATTCTGGCAGTGGAGATCAGCCAGGCATAATGGCTGCCTGGCCTACGTCCTTGTCCATGGTCACACCTGCAATGTAAGGGGCTTGGATGGGTTGTGGTATGGGGTAGTGGCAGCTCTATCCCACCTGGCAACTTCTGCTGTTTATGCTGCACCTGATTCCTGCCTGTTTGAGTGAATGCTCTCAGATGAGGGGCAGGGGAATTAAAAACTCAAGTTAAGGATTATTAATTTCCCAAATGATTGTGGTATGTTAACAAACTAACACAAGGAACCAGGATGTTTTTCTTATAGTGTCAGAAGAAACCTTTTGACAAATATTTATTAAAAACTCATTTGCCAAGTAACTTGCTTTTTTGAACAGAGCTTAAACTCAAAATGTCAGAAGAGCAAAATTGTACCCCTAAAGCACCCAAAAGAATTGTGCAGCATGAGAGCACTGGAATATACAAGGAGACCAGGAAGCAAGAAGCAGCAAGTACTGAACCAAATCCATCCATCGAAGAAACCATGGATACCGTAATGAAGCGATTAAAGGAGAAACGACAACAGCTTAACCTCCCTGAGACTATAAAGGTATGTGTGTTTCTTGCAGAATAATCACAACTGGGGAAGAAATTAAATATTGTTTTTAGCTGTCAGTACCCTACTCGGTGTATTCTGAACTGCCATGTTGCAATGGTATCCTACAGATCTTGCACCACAGGAGCATAACCCCGACAGCATATTTTTACACTAACAAAATCACTGACCCTAGTACACTTTTTCTGGAGTGAGGATTCTAGGAAGAGTTACAAAGACAAAGCAGGGCTAGATTTACAAAGAAATGTAGTGTGGTGACGCTCAGCATTGCCATGCCTAACTTTTAGATGCCTAGAAAATTACTGACTGGGATTCACAAAGCCTGAGTTAGGTGCCTAGGCTTCCTATGCAATGAATGGGAGAGAGAGGCACCTCAAAGGGGATTTACATAAACCAGCATGCTAGGCTGCTCCCCACCTAAACTAGAGAATGGGAGATGCCAAGTCTGTGTGATAAACCCCACCCCTCTCACAGAGATAGGCACCTACATTGAGGCTGCAGGGAAGTGCCTCCCTCAGCTTGGGATTCCCAGCTGAAAACCCTCTCTTGGTGTTAGGCGCCTATGCTGTTTTTTCAAGAAGTTGGAGGGAGGAGGAGGAGGAGGAGGATGACCAGGGGTACCATCTCCCTCATAACTCTTAGCCCAGTGGTTAGAGTACTCACCTGGGATGTGGGAGACCCCCAGTTTACCTGAGGGGAGAAGGGATATGAACTGGGATCTGCCACTTTTCGGGTGAGTGCTCTAACCACTGCACTATGGGATATTCTGAAATAAGGCACCCTCAGTCTCTCCTGTTGAAGCAGTTCCACGGTGGATAAATAATTTTAAAAAAATCATTGGAGCAGGGGGACTGGATCCTGGGTCTCCCATTACTGGGCTAGTTATGAGGGAGGAGGTCCTTCTCCTCTTCTCTAGGGTTGCTACCTCTGAAGTACAAAAAATTGGGACATCCGGGATGATCCTGAGCCCATAAAACTGGACAGATGGCAGAGTGTGTTGAGCACCCTTGCAGACTTCCCAGGATAGCTACCTCAAAAAAGATATGATCCTAGGAAAACCTGGACAAGTGGCTACCCTATCCTCCTCCTTCCTCCCTCTCCCCCCATTTTTGTGTAAGCTTGCCAATAGGGGCCTGGTTTGGTAGGTGAGGTCTGAGCACACTTACTGGATCAAACCCTGCAGGCAAATTAGGCAGAGGAATTTGAATTACTCTGGGGCGTAGCCATCTGGACGCCTGACATGGAACTGCACTGAGCATGCTCAGAGGCAGAAACAAAGGTTCCTAGGGATCATCGTCTGCAAAAATGTAGGTGCTGCTGAGCAGTTTTACATGCCTACGGGGTTTGACGGAAGCTTTGAATCCTAGTGGGCCTGATTCTGGGATTTACATGCCTGAAGTGGCAGTTAGGCAACTAAGTTCTTTTGTGAATCTAGCCTGAAGTGCCCATTCTTTTCAGCAGGGTTTGCAGGTAGCACTGAGTGCACCGTGTTTGGAGGTGAACGTCAATATCTGTATTAGAAAGGAATTGTAATAGCTTCGCTGTTTCAGATTACAGGTACATGAAAAGCATGTTCTCCAATCTATGAAAGCTGGTGATAAAGCACAAGCAATCATATCTCCAGTCCAGAGAGACTGTGTGACTGCGAAGAATCACTAAGAGCTTGTTTACAAGGTGTGGTAAAGACCACTTCAGGGGTGTGATTTATAGAGTTCTAACATGCTGCGCTCTAACTGTCGCATGTTGACCCTGTTGGTGTGAACAAAGCACCTTTTAGTTCATGCTAGCAGGTTCTACTCAGAGCAGTTAGAGTGCAGCATGTTAGAGCGCTCTACAAATCAGACCCCTCTAATCTGCTTTGCTGTGCTGTGAAGACAAGCCTGAAGAGGTTCAAGTGTCTGTTCTGTGTCACACCCTGAGGCAGTGTCATTGAAAACCATGGGTCTTGGTGAGATACTGCGGATGTGCAGTTAGTATTTATAGTCTATGGGCTCTGCATCCTGTGGGACCCCTGTGAGTTAGATAAAAGGACCATTGCAAAGCTAAAGAATTTTGTGCAACTTTTTAAAAAATGTCTTCTCCATTTTAAAATTCACTCCAATTTGGACACTTGATGACTCTTACTCCGTTGTTAAAACCCAGAAGAAATGCCACACTTATCAGCCAGTGATAAAGTATATACAGTAAAGTATATAATGATGCCACCACTTATCTGTAGGTGGCACATACAAGATATATATAGCTATATAATAATACCACATTTGCCATCAGGTAAAGTATACACACCAAAGGCCACTATTTCTAATTTTCATAGATTCTAAGGCCAGAATCTGTATGACCTCTGGTATAACACAGGTTATGGAACTTCCCCAAAATAATTCTTAGAACATACTGTTTAGAAGAACATCCAATATTGATTTTAAAATTGTCAGTGATGGAGATTTCACCACAATCCTTGGTAAATTGTTCTAGTGTTAATTATCCTCATTGTCAAAAATATACGCCTTATTTCCTGTCTGAATTTGTCAAGCTTCAGCTTCCAGCCATGTTATACCTTTTGTCTGCTAGATTGAAGAGCCCATTATTAAACGTTTGTTCTCCATCTAGACTGTATTAAGTCACCTCTTTAACCTTCTCTTTGTTTAAGCTAAATAGATTGAGCTCTTTGAGTCTATCACTATAAGGCAGGTTTTCTAACCCTTTAATCATTCTCTCGGCTCTTCTCTGAACTCTCTCCAATTTATCAACCTTCTTCTTGAATAGTGGGCACCAGAACTGGACACAGTATTCCCGCAGCAATCGCAAGAGTGCCGATACAGAGGCAAAATAACCTCTCTACTCCTATTTGAGATTTCCTTGTTTATGCATCCCAAGAATGCATCCCACTCATACTGGGAATTCACATTCAGCTGATTATCCACCATGACCCCCAAATCTTTTTCAGGGTCATTGCTTTCCAGGATAGAGAACCCCGTTCTGTAAGAAAGGCCTACATTCTTTATTTCTAGTTGTATATATTTACATTTAGCTGTATTAAAAAGGTATATTGTTTGTTTGCACCAGGTTTACCAAGCCATCCAGATCGCTCTGAATCAGTGACCTGTCCTCTTCATTATTTACCACTCCCCCAATTTTTGTGTCATCTGAAAACTTTATCAGTGATGATTTTATTTTTTTCCAGGTCATTGATAAAAATGTTAAATAATGTAGAGCCAAGAACTGATCCCTGTGGGACTCCACTGGAAACACACCTGCTCGATGACTATTCCCTGTTTATAGTTACTTTTTGAGACCTACTAGTTAGCCAGATTTTACCCCTTTTAATGTGTGTGATGTTAATTTTATATTATTCTAGTTTTTTAATCAAAATGTAGTGTGGTATCAAGTCAAACGCCTTAGAGATCTCTAAGTACACCGGACCCTCGCTAGAACGTGGGATTTGGGATCCATGCGTGGTACCGCGTTAACGCGGGGACCGCATTAAAATGAATTGCAATTAAAGTAATTAAATTTGGGATCCATGGCTGCGACCGCATTATATGCGAATTCGTGCTATATAGACGCGCATTCTAGCGAGGGTCCGGTGTATATTACATCAACACTATTACTTTTATCAACCAAACTTGTAATCTCATCAAAAAAAGATATCAAGATAATTTGACAGGATCTAATCTCCATAAAGCCATGTTGCTTTGCATCAATTACATTACACTCCTTAAATTCTTTATTTATCAAGTCCTGTGTCAGCCATTTCATTATCTTGCCTAGGATCGATGTCAGGCTGACAGGATGATAATTACCAGGGTCATCCTGTTTACCCTTTTTAAAACTTGGCACATTAGCTTTCTCTCAGTCTCTGGAACTTCTCCAGTGCTCCAAGACTTATTGAAAATCAACATTAATGGTCCAGCGAGTTTCTCAGCCAGCTCTTTTAAAACTCTTGGTATCTGGAACTGCTTATTTTAAAATGTCCCAGTTTAATAGCTTCTATTTAACAGCTTCCAGAAATACTAGTGGAATGGAAAGAGTGTTATCCCCATATGATGAGACTATATCATCTGTTTTTCCTTCCAAATAAAGAACAGAAATATTTATTGAACACATCTGACTTTTCTGCATTATTATTGATAATTTTACCATTTCCATTGAGTGATGGATCAATATCATTGTCAGGACTCATTTTGTTCCTAATATATTTTTTTAAAAAGATTTCCAATTATCCTTAACTCTGCTGGCCGTAGATTTCTCCTTGTGACCCTTTGCTTTCCTTATCAATTTTCTACAATTCCAAACTTCTGATTTATATTAATTCCTATGAATTTCCCCTTTCTTCCATTTGTTATATATTATTTTTTGTTTTTATAGATACCTTCACTTCCCCTCTAAACCCAAGTTTTTGTTCTGCTTGCATGTTATAAATGTGATCAAGTCATGAGTACTTGTACCTAAGCTACTATTAAATTTTAGTTCTGTGATCAGTTCCTCTTTAAAGATAAGGGGCGAAATTCTGCTCCCTGTTACATCTGTATAGCCCCATTGATTTTAAAGGGGCTTTATGGGGGTAACTGAGAGTGGAATCTGACTCAAGGAATTCTTTTTTTAGATTGTCTTTTTGCAAGTAGACTTCTTTATCTAGAGCGGTAAAATATTTGAGCAGAGCCAGATATATAAAAAAATAAGTGACTTACTAGCTCAGCAATTCAAACATGTCTACAATAAGCTGTTTTCTTGCTGTCTCCTGCACTTATTAAACCACTGAGCAAAAAACAAGTTACTCTTTTGTATTATTTGTAGTTCCCCATGACTAGGTCACATGGCCTCTAGTATGTGGCACTGTAGGCTAAAATCAATAGTATAATTAAAAATGGGCTTGAACTAGAAACCTGGATTTTAAACTCTGAACTGGGAAAGTTTGAACCCAAATTCAAATATCATGACTTGTGCTCCGGGAGGCACATCTCAAAGGACAGTGAGCTAATCATTTTGCTCCTACT